TTGTCATGGGTCTCTACTCCTGTCAATCAACCCATCTCTGGGTTTCTGATGCTGTCTGTCCATCAGTAACTCCCACTTCTGCATCTGGTCTTAGCCTGTACCGACCCTTACAGCTAACTACATACCTAAATTTTCACTAAGACACTGTCATTTCAAAGTCAGCCTCTCTAAGACAGCCTGGAGCAGGCTCCCAAGTCATGACGAAGGGACTTATTATGAATGCTTGGCTTGTTTCTTGCTAGCTCTTATAACTTAACCTGTTTCTCTTCATCTGTGTCTTGCCTTGGGACCATATTTTCTTTCTGCATGTTCTACTCTGTGTTAAGCTGGTTGGCATCTTTTTTTTTTTCTTTCTTACTTGTTCTCTCCTCTCATTCTCTTTCCTATGGTGTTAACTAGTTTGTGCTTTAACAAATAAAGCTTGCCTGAAAGTCAGAGTTAGCCAGAGAGACCAGGAAGTGGTGACACACACACACCTTTAATCTCAGCCCTTGGGAGGCAGAGGCAGAGGGATCTCTGTGAGTTCAAGGCCACCCTGAAAACACTGATCCAGTCTAAAAGAGAAACAGAGCCATGCAGTGATGGCTCACACCTTTAATCCCCGTGCTTGGGAGTCACACATCTTTAATCCCAGCACCAGGAAGGTGGAGACAGGAGCTCGGGCATTCAGTCTGAGGATTCATGGAGACAGGATCTTGCCCACTTTGGTCTGAGGATTCAGAAGTAAAAGGTCTCTCAAGTGGCTGGCTCCTTTACTTCTCTGATCTTTCAGTATTTACCCCAATATCTGATTCTGGATAGAATCATTTAGAATTTGTGTTACACTCTTCCCTTGTGCCTAGATTCCTCCTCCTATCTATTCTCTTTCCTTGCCAGCCCTGCCTATCTCTCCTCTACCATTGGCCATTCAGCTTTTTATTAGACAAATCAGGTGCCTTAGGCAGGCAAAGTAAAACAGTAACATATTTTTACATAATTAAACAATTGCAGCATAAACAAATGTAACACATCTCTGCATAGTTAAATATTCCATAACACTCAATCTGCTTCCTGTCCACAGCAAATATTTCCCTTCCCCCCACCCAGCAAATCTGATCAATTCTGTTAAAAATAGTATCAGAACCTGACTACTTTAAATCACCTTTAGCACAGCAACTTAAACCATCTTCTCTCGTGTGGACACCACTCACCTTCTGCCTCTTTTCTGTCTCCTCCACTCTGTTCTCAGACCCCATCTGATCCCGCCACACCCCTTAGGATGAACTATCCTGCACAGCACAGCAGAGGCCAGCACCTCTGAAGGGCCCGTGTGCTCCTTTATTTTTCGGAAATGGTCACTCTCTCCTTGACACGTGTAATTCCTCAACAGAATGCCAGCAGACATGATGTAGCCAAGGCTGGTAGGGTGTCCTTGCGAATGACCTTGCCTTTTGGCATCTTGGCCACTATCTTGAGACACACAGATCAGGGTTGGCTGCCAGTTTGGGAAGAGGAAGAGAGACTTGTATACTACGTTAGCTTTAAATGAGGCCAGTTTAAACCAGCTGATTCCCAACCAAATGGCTAAGGGTTGCAGACCCTCCTCTGTGAGACTTGCAGAACATGCCCAGCGAGTCCTCGGACTCACAGGCAGTTGCTTTAAAGAGATGCGCACTGCTGCACGCTTCTGAGGGTCTATGGTTCCTCAGTAGACACTGGGGGATACAGCTTAGAAGATAGGACTCCTCCTCACACCCAGCCTTCCCAGGCTAGTGCACGCCTCACTCCTTTCCCAGCCACACTGACCTCTTTGCTGCTAACCAGCCATCGGGCTTGCTCCTACCTCGGTACACACAAGGTCTACTCTTACCCCTTCGGAGACCCCAGGCTTGCTGCCTCCTTCTCTCTGACCTTTGTATCAATATCATGTAAAATGTTCCTTCCTCACCTTTCAGGACCCCCACGCCGCATCTAGGCTTCCTGTTTAGTAGTTACCACTGTCTAACTTACACACTTTCAGCCACTTTTACATTTCTGTCATCCCCAATCAAAACATAAAGTTTACTAAAGCCAGGATTTCTATTTTGTTCATTGCTGGATCCCCAGTATTTGTGTACATTCTAATTTTCAGTGGATTGTCTGATAGATTAACCTCCCCCAGCTTCCTCATTCTACTGCTAAAGCCTGGAAGTTTCAAGTCTTCTGCACCTCGTCTTCACAAAAACAATCCGCTCACTGGAACACTCCTGCTTACACACTGTTGTGGTCTCAATGTGAACGGTACCTTTAGGCTCAGGTCGTCTGAACACTTAGTTCCTAGCTAGGGAGGGCTCTGGGGTGGGGCACAGCTGGAGGAAGGGGATCACAGGGAGTGAACCTTAAGGTTTCTAGCCCAGCCCCCACTTCTTAGACTTTCTGCTTCCTAAATGCATATCCTGCCTCACGCTCTGACCACCACACCTTGTCTGCCAGGATGGAGTCTCCTCTCGGGTGGTGAGCCCAAATAAAACGTCTCCCAGAGGCAGCTCCAAGTCACCATCAGCACCTAGAGCGGCTGCTACACGTCCCTCAGGGTGAAGCGGACATCCATGTTATTCCTTAGCTCTACTCTTAGCAGCAACCATTCCAAGGTATTGCTCTCATGCCAGGATGGCTTCTCTTATGAATTTGGTTCCATGTATTATGTGTGTGTGTGAGGCACACGTGCTATGGTGGGCAGGTGAAGTAGAAGGTAGCTTTAGAAGCTGGGTCTCCTCACGCCAGCACCCAGGGTGGGCTCTTAGCCCTCTTTTTTCATGGATTTGTGCTCAATTCCTCATCCAATCTCACTTCTACTCAAAGGGAAACACAGGATTTTTAATGAAGAGCTTTTGGTGATGTGTTCTATTTCATTTGTTCTTGTTTACATATAATTTCAGTAGATACAGGGTTCTAAAATGAAGGTTTTACTTCCCACATTACAGATGTCGTGCGCTGTCTCCTGGCTTTCACTGTTACTATGAGGTAGTGAATTTTTCTTCTTTTGCAACTGACATGTCTCATCTATAATACTTTTAAATTTTCTTTCTTCATCTTTCCTTTTATTGAATTTTTTCCCTCACATAATAAGATTAAAAAAATCACATTGAAACAGGAAAAAAAAAAAAAACAGAAGGAAAAGAGCCCAAGAAAAGGCACAAGAAACAGATATAAATGCAGAGACCTACTTGTTCACACACTCATGAATCCCTCAAAAACACTAAACTAGATGTCACAATATATACACAGATACCTGGGCAGTGGTGGCCCATGCCTTTAATCCCATCACTTGGGATGCAGAGGCAGATCTCGGTGAATTCGAAGCCAGCCTGGTTTACAGAGCGAGTTCCAGGACAGCCAGAGTTGTTATACAGAGAAACCTCTTGTCAAAAAAACAAACAAAACACAACAAAAATACATATACATACACACACAAATATATTATGCACATAAAACATATTGTGCAAGCATGAGGACCTGCGTTTACATCCCCACTGCCCTGTAAAAGTCAGGCATGGCAGTTTTTCTAATTCGGCTTTACTCTTCAGTCCCTCTGACTGTAATGCATGGCCATGTTTATCCACTGCCATAATCCCAGTGCCTGAGAACAAGCAGAGCTCACATACTGGGCAGACAAAATCAATGCCAACCTTGTCTAGCATTCCCCGCTCAAGAACGGTCCAATCACCCTGGTCTCCTGTCGTTCCTGCCTCTGGGACAGGACTTGCAGCTCCTGTGCACTTGTGGACCGTTGCTCTCATTACCTGTAGTTTCTTTGTACTGCCTGCACTCCCTGACAGAGTAAAACACTGACGGAAGGCAAGAGAGCTAAGGAAGGTAAACTGGCCACCAGCACTGGGGCAGTGAGGACTGCTCAGAAAGAACACGCTTTCCCCCCGCTCCTGTGAGCGGGGAGGAGTCGCCCCCACCCTCCTCCAACAGAGTTCACTGTCCCCCCCAGCAGTGTTCCCTGCCCCTCCCCCTCCAGCAGTGTTCACCATCCCTCCCTACATACCCCCCCCCTTCAGCAGCGTTCATCCCCCTCCCACCCTCCCCTGCAGCACTCACTGCCCCTCCCCTCCAGCAGCGCTCAGCTCACTATCAGCCCCTCCTACCACCCGACCTGCTCCGGCAGGGTTCAAGCACACTCCTCTCCTGAAGCTCTGGGAGCCGAGCCCTGTTTTGTCATCTCAGTCCTTCCCTCACTGAAAATAAAAGGACAGCTCCTATTAAGACTTGAACTGCTAAGCTGTGCCAGACATGAAAACAGAGAAAATGTTTCTTTTCTTATTTGTAAATATTTAGCTTTGGCAGCATCAGTAACTAATCACAGCTGCTTCCTTTAGTTACAAATGGCTTCAATCAGGTAAAATTTCAAATGAAACTCACAAACCACCAGTTGTTCCATTATACTGCACAATGGCCGTGGCAGGGCTTGTGGAATACGGGTATTAAATATGCATATATTCATCAAATCAGACAAAGAAGCTAATGGGTCTCTGATTAGTGTTCCTACTCTACTGCGGTGATGCTTCCATCACACCCTGACTCATCTACAGCACAGCACTGTCTGATGCACGAGCTGTGCCGTCACTGTAGGATCCACGAGCTGAGCCGTCACCGTCATTGTCTGATCCACGAGCTGTGCCGTCACTGTCTGATCCACGAGCTGAGCCGTCACCATCACTGTCTGATCCACGAGCTGTGCCGTCACTCTGTCTGATGCAGGAGCTGTGCCGTCACCGTCTGATGCACGAGCTGTGCTGTCACTGTCTGAATATAGCACACTGACTTTTTGGCTAGAATTCCCCTCTTGAAAAACTGAAGGCAAAACAGAGCTGTGAAGCTGGGGCACTCTTTCATTTTAATTTCTAATTCTTTATACCAAAACTAAACCAAAACTACACAGACCCCTGCTTATCTCTACTAAGACTTACAAACAACCTTGTTTGCAAAGGACTCTAGAGCGAGAGCAGCGAACAAAGGCCAGTTCAACATAGACAAACAGATGATAAAATTTATTTGGTACTAAAAATTCCAGATTCTGTGACAATATATAAATAAATTTCTATTATAATAAACTGATACTCTGAAAAAAGAAAAACAAATTTTCACTTATTCACAAACTTGAAGCTGTGAGTTTTGTTTAGGGCTGGTCAACTTTGATGCAGAGACAGCTGTCAGCCAAGTGTACAGGTGCTTAGTTAGGTCTAAGCTCTTCCTGTTGAATTATGTTCCTAGGCACGTGCCTGTGATCTCAGCACTCAAGGGCTGAGGCAGGATTACTAGTTTAAAGCCAACCTGGGCTACAGACAGTCTGTCTGTCTGTCTGTCTGTCTGTCTGTCTGTCTGTCTCTCTCTCTCTCTCTCTCTCTCACACACACACACACACACACAGAGTCTAGAGAGTAAGTACAATTAATCACCCTGTACTCCTTGAAGGACAGAATACAGTCAACTTGACTTCACCTAGGTCAGGGTGGTGTCTATAACACAGGTTCACCTCCACAGGAAGCCAGCTCTAACTGTAAAGGCCTACTTTGGAAAGTAACAGTGAGGTGGTAGTCACCAGCAGTACCGATTCTTATTAAAAATGAACAACTCTGGGTGCTTTAGTCTTTGGTTTCTGTGGTTTGGGTGTATCCAGGACTTCTTCGTAGTCGGCACTCATTCCCGCTGCCCATCGACCAACTGTGACCATCCGATCTGCAGAGGGATAAGAAAAAAAGATATAAACACAATAGTAATCAAATGCTTCCATTAAAGTGGTATCAGTTGAGCAAAGGAACTAGTTTTGACATGCATAATCACAAGGAGAGAAGCCCCCATCGCTGCAGGAAAGTGAGCAATTCTGTAATTGATTAGAACCCTTGATTTCCAAGTACTGCGGGCAATTTCTCGTCCCAATTAGGGAAATGCAGCAGCTACTTTGCAATGCACAAACTGATGAGAAAGCTCCTTCATTCTCTCCCAGAGTTCATCACTGAAGAGTCAATGAATTCCAAGAGCCCGTAAACAGCAAGACTTAGGAGGCATTAGTTTTAAATGCACAAGATCCCACCTGTGAAATTATACACCATCTGCTTGTCAGCTTTATCATTTGGGAAGTGGCAACCCTCCCAGTAGAGAGAATTCAAATCCCACTTCATCATTTCAATCTCACAGCCTACACCATATGAAGATGATCTCCTTCTAGACAAGATTATAAACAACAACTCCTGGGTTTGCATTTAAACATTAGGGCAAGAAAGTCAGACTTGGGAGACTCAGGGATGAATAATGACTATGAATAAGTCCCAGGACTCACTCTCTGTGCCTCCCCAGTACTGAGACTACAAGCACACAACCACCACACCAGCCTTTTACTTAGTTCTGGGGACTGAACTCGGGTCCACAAGCCACTGAGCCACCTGCCCAAGCCCGTTTTGCTTTCTTTAACACAGATCATCTCTATTCTAATCCTGGCACACTAAGGGAATAATGGTCCTCTGCTTCCTTAGATGTCTGCAGCATGTAACAGTGAACATTTACAAGTTTTTAATGATCAAGGCTAATATTTCACAAGAAAATAAGCACTAGGCAGATGCTGCGTTGGTAACACATTTTTAATAAGTTTAACAGCTTCACCATCATTTAGAGCACACAAAGCAAAGCACATGAGGACACTCAGGCTTATGAATGCTGAAAACTAATTCCGTATTTGACTTTTATCTTAGGAATCGATACTTTTTTGCTAAGTAACAAAGTAAGTTCTAATACAACTAACTCCATTTCTGAGCAGATGTTTTTCACTATACAGTCCTGCAGCTCACCAGCTCGCAGGAAAGATCTGATGTTCAGGGACTCGGGCCTGGCGAGGTCACCGTCCCAGTGCAAAAGCAGCTCTCAACGGTGCCTCTCTGAGTTATTGATAATGGAACTCAGTGAGCACAGAGAGGAATACCCTTATAGATGGAGGCCCAGGAACTCACCTGAGTTCTGATTTTCAGGGCAATCTTTCTTAAAGTGTTCCACAGAGCCACAGAGTTTACAGCTGCCACCTAGTAGAAGAACAGAGTCATTGAGTCTATATCATCCCGACACGGTGTGTGCAACATCGATGAGCAATTTCGGGTCTTCACATCGCTGATGACTGTAAAGGAAGCTGGAGTCAGGAAGCCAGGCGGGGACCGTCACACTTGCTACTAACTCCTTCGCTGCTCCCGAATTTCAGCAGCTGCTTTGTACCTGATCTTCGAGAGAGAAGTGGAGAAGAGGAACATGGTAGAAGTCACCTGTCCGAGACTGTGTGACACAGAACTCTAGAGGTTACTCAAGGACAGTCGAGCTGTAGAGCCTTCGCCAAGAAACAAAACTTATATACAGTCACATCCCCCGCCCCAGGAGGATGCCCAGTTTCTATCAGTTTCTCAGCAAGCAGTGGCCCCCCAAAAGGTAAGCACTGCTGCTCTACTAGATAGGTCAGATGGGGTAGTGGTTACTTAAGAGAAATCTGTTTCCATGCTTTCTATCTGCCAGTCCTGCTAGCCTGAGAAAACACCCCCATCTGTCTAATTAAGCATCATTCCAGGATGGTGAGCTACAACATGTGGTTCCCACATGGGGCTTCCACATAAGAGCCAGGCCTTCTCAGAACCATGCTTATGTGAAGATGTCCCCAGAGGACACAAGCCTGTCTCCCACGTATGGGATAAGCTCCTCTTGCTTTAAAATACCAGCAACAACGACTCAATCTGGCTCACCACGCAAAGCCATTGTTGCTCCCAAGTCAACTTTCCAAGTCGCTGACTCCACCCTCTGATTCAAGATTAACTTCTTCATGCCACAGTGAAAACAGAAGAGGCCTTTGAGTAATGCACTTACTTTAAAACATAATGGCCATACCCAAGCAAATCTAAGATACCACTGATGAGTTTACTTAAACTCTTCTATTATTAATAAAAACTCAGGAGACAGATATTGAGGTAAAAACTTGATAGACCCAAAGAGCAATAGAGGAATGATCAGTCGAACCTGCCTTTTCACACTTCCCAGATCAAAAAGACTCAGCCAAATATCCAAGTCCCTCCCTACTACTTCCTGTGAACCTCTCTATCCAGCTCCCTGGGTCCTCCCTACCTCTATGGGTAATTTCAGTCCACTAGTCGCTGACTCCACCCTCTGATTCAAGATTAACTTTATCAGCAGTCTTGGGAGTGTCAGTACGAACAAATATCCTGCAACACATCACTGACTGTAAGGTATGTCATTCACTACTTTACATATCTTCGCCCACCAATGGTATGATACAGTTCGATTTCAGATATAAAAATGAAAAAGAATGCATCTCAGAGCCGAGGAAATCTAGCTTCCTTAATTCTACTGTACAGGTGACCTGGCCGAAGACCTGCGCCTGGGGAGGGGCAGTGAGGCTGACCCCACCAGCTACAGGTTTCCTCTGGACCTCGCGGAGAAAGACCTCAAGACAGGACACAGAGACGCCAAGGATGCTCTGGCACCAGCCACTGTGTTAACAGACAACGAATTCCTCCTGCAGGCCTTTGGACACAGCAGGGCTAGTTACAGGCTCTTAAGACACCGAGTCAAAGACAAAAAGGTTCCACGAAGCTAAAGTCTATATAAGTAGAAACTTCAGAAACAAACATCACCACAAACCAGAACAGTGCGTACCACACTCGAGCAGAACAGCATGCTAGCGAGACAAGATGCAATGCAGCTTTTTGAATCTTTTACTAATCTGAGATAAAACCTCTCCAGTTTTATTTTGCTTAAACACCAACAGATATTTAATATATTCTCACAAATAATGCTGAAGCAAGTAGTTTGAGAAATACTCGTTAGGTTTTCTCTGGTTTATTAATAAGTTAAACCATAGTACTGAAATAACCCCAGACAGAACAGTACTTGGTAAAGGCACTCAAGGTTGCACCTGCTCAAGAATTCAGTTAGAGAGAAGATCCAGTTGATCATAATTCAGTTAGAGAGAAGATCCAGTTGATCATAATTCAGTTAGAGAGAAGATCCAGTTGATCATAATTCAGTTAGAGAGAAGATCCAGTTGATCATAATTCAGTTAGAGAGAAGATCCAGTTGATCATAATTCCGAGTGATGTATACGTGTCAGACACACGGGGGCGATGGTACTCACCGTCGGCATAGACGCCCTTGGGATTATCGGGGCAGGACCTGGATAGGTGTCCCATTTCTCCACAGACAAAACATTTCGCAAAAGGAAATTCACCTGTAGGAATCAATGTTCCCATTAATATACTGTGTATAAGGATAAGCTGTACAATTTACATTACTTTAAAATACTGTGAACATATCTTTTTACCACAGTGGCTACTGAATGGGCACCTTCCCGTACCTACCGAGAGCGGGGTCCACGCTAGCTCTGCACTTTGTCATCTCGTGCTCTGTGGACCCGCAGCGGTAACAGATGCCAGTGCCCATGTCCTGACTTTCCAGTGCAGCTGGGCAATCGGCGACTCCATGGCCAGGCCTTCTACAATGGAAACATATCTGTGAAAACAAAAAATCAGTTTCCACGTGGTGAAACTACACTCCTGCCTTTACTAATTCTCCCATCAAAGCTATCTTTATTTTGCATTTTAAAGTTAAAAAAAACAACAACAACACATAGTCTTCTATCTGTAGAAGAAAGTACTTTCCATATCCCCAAATGATCACAAGCCTTACAGCACAGTGTTTCTCATAACTAATCCCATTAATCCATTAGTCTCACACACAGGGTTATAAACGGTTTCGTAAGAGGCAATTACTCCTATGAATTGAACAAATATGGATCATACACATTTTACTAAGGATGCCTGTACCAGAAAACAAAGAGTATGTTTGGGGAGGGGCCTCTGTAGAAGTCATACAATAGCTATAAAAAAAATCACTCAGATTAATGCTTGTATTTTTAAATTTCACAGAGCTAAATGACGGTGGGTTCAGTGTCTCCACTATGACTCAGATCACAAGATATAAGCTATCTGGGTAGGTCAAGCAGGTGGCTGTATTCGAACGGCTGGGTGGAGCTGGCCAGGAGCCAAGGTTCACAGTGCTGGGAGGCACCAAAGTATCTTTAAGGTGTGGGTATTTAAGAGATGATGGCATCCGAGACCCATGATGCTAAGGATGAACCATTCCATTGCTCTGCCTCGCCAGGGCAGGTCTAATGTCACCAATAAGAACAAGGGAGGTCAGGAAATCATCAGAATAGATGACTGCTCACATAACAGAACAGCTGGACAAACCCCATGAAAGAAAAACCCTGTCCGGAAGAAAAGGTCACCTGAAAAATCCTGTTACAGAAAGTCTCCTAAAAATGGGGGCTCTGATGTGGCCAATATGAACAGGTTTATGCTGGTCGACTGCCTCAAAAAACGAGGCCATGAATATCCGCATACTCGGTACTGCCTGATTCTGCTTCTTTAGAGACAGAAGGTCCATAAAAATATGATGGGGTTGCAGGGAGATGGTGGTGCAGAGGCAGAGGCAGGTGGATCTCTGTGAGTTCAAGGCCAGCCTAGTCTACAAGAGCTAGTTCCAGGACAGGCTCCACAGGCTACGGAGAAACCCTGTCTGAAAAAACAGGTTTCTGAGTATCATGATGCGATGGCCCAAGTTTTGTTCAGCAGGAGTGAGGGACTGGATGGACGAGAAGTGTTAAGTGAAGTCACAGCCTGTTTGGTGAGGCCAGAAGACCCTGGTGGCATGGTAGACTGCACTCCTGTTACAGCCAATAGTTCACAAGAGGAAGAGCAATGGATCGCCTCTGACTTGCTGTCTCTAGTCAGTGGAAAGGAAACTTGGAGACCAGGAAACAGTGGTTGACACTGGCTCCAAACAGTAGTATGTGGGGGGTCAGAACTAGCATCCAAAACAGGTACAAGTGGTGGAAGTATTAAGATGAAAAGCAAACAGATAAACCGTGGGAAGAGGAGATCCATCTCACTTTGAATACATGGCAGTCATGCTTAGTCACTGCTCTTACACGGAGATGTCATTGACTAAAGAGCACCTGGTTATTCAAAACTTCACCCAGACTGCAGACTTCTGAGAACTGCAGACTATGGAAGATCTAAACATTTCAAGTCATTCAGAGGCCGGGTGTGGTGGCTTATGTCCGCAGCTCCACTACATGGGAGACATGGACAAGAAATCACCCTATGTCTGAGTCTAGCCTGGTCTACATAGCTAGTTCCAGTTCAGCCAGGGCTATATAAAGAGCCTCCATCTCAAAACAAACAAACAAATAAAAAAGCACAATAACAACAAAAATACCCCAATGTCTCTAACAATCTACCTTGCATTTAAGTGGAAAATGGCCCAAAGCAGCAGAGTGGCATTTAAACCACAAACAAAAATAAGTCAGGACTTAAAAAGCTACAAAAACCACCATCCCTAATTTTAATTGTTTTATTTAAAAAATAAACCACTTAAATAAAAGCAACTATTTTCTTAAATTGAAAAGACTTTAAAGATTTATATATTATACTAAATAATATTGAAATTTTTGTCTACATGGCTGATGTGCACACAAAATACTCTTAATTAGTATTATGATAACCAATGTCTCCTTTCGAAAACAATTACAACCAACCATGCACAATAAAAACATGGAATTAGGTCTGGATAGACATTAAAAGCACTGCTGATCCTCCAGAGGTCCCAGGTTCAATTTCTGGCATCCAAAGGGGTTGGGGGAGGGTTGACAAGTGTCTGTATCTTCAGTTTGAGGAGAACCGATTCCTCCTCTGGCTTCCTAGTTCACAGACATGCATGTGGGCAATATACCCATACACATAAAGTAACAATTTATTTGTCCCACAGTAAGACATGTGCAGAAAGAGGGTCTAAATTGGAAGTCTCCATCAGGTCCCTCACATCAGAGAGTGGGGAACCCTATGGAAGAGGGGGAGGAAAGACTGAGATGTCAGAGGAGATGGAGGACACCAGGAGAACATGGGCCACTGTATGGGCTCACAGAGACTGAAACAGCAAACATGGGACCTGCATAGGTGTGTGCATGTGTTACAGATACTAGCTTGGTGTTTGTGGGGCTCCTAATGGTGGGAGTGGGTGTGTCTGACTTTTCCACATGCTCTTGAGACTCTTTTCCTATTGGGTTGTCTTGTCCAGCTTCAATGAGGGTTTTTGCCTTGTCTTGCCATATCTTATTTTGTTTTGTTTAGTTGTTGTCTCTTGAAGGTCTGCTCTTTTCTGAAGGGAGATGGAGGGGGAGTGGATCTTGGGGAGAGAGGAAGTGAAGGGGAGCTGGGAGGAGTAGAGGGAGAAAAACTGTGGTCAGGATATATTGTATGAGAGAAGAATCTATTTTTCAGTCATCATCATCAAATTAAATCAGGGATTTACACTTAGGTATGATGTTTATTATCTCCGCCCTGACCTCCCCCAGATAGGGTTTCTCTTTGTAACAGTCCTGGCTGTCCTAGAACTCAGTTAATAAACCAGGCTGGCCTCAAACTCTTTACACTTTTTAATTCCAGCACTTGGGTTGCAAAGGTAGGCAGCCAACTGTGACTTCACTGCCAGTAGGTCTACATAGCCACATCTAGGCTAGGTAAGGCTACACAGTGGCACTCTTTCTCAAAAAAGAAAAGAAAACAAAAAACACAAGGTAGAAGATAAATAAAACGTACTTTCAAAAATGTCTGTTAGGGCTGGAGAGAAGGCTCAGTCAATAAAGCGCTTGCACACATGCTTGACAACCTGATTCAAGCCTCAGACACCAAAGAAGAAAGTGTGAGCCTGGCAGTAGGTGGATCTCTGTGAGTTCAAGGCCAGTCTAGGGCTGTGACACAGAGAAACTCTGTCCAGAAAAAACAAACAAACAAACAAACAAAAAACCCAAACAAACAAACAAATCAAGTATGGCAAAACATGCTTAGAATCCCAATACTGGAGAGGAGAGGCAAGTGGCCTATTGGCTGGCCTGTAGAGTTTAACTAGAAAATTCCAGGACAGTGAGAGACAGCAAAAAAAAAAAAAAAAAAAAAGACCCTGTCTGAAAATCAAGGTGGATGGTGCCTGAGACTGACCTGATGCTGTCTTCTGGCTTCCACACACGTGTGCACATATGCACTTGCTCACTTACACATGTACACCACACACAAATGGCTTTTGGCTAGACATGGTGACCTACACCAGTAACTTCAGCCACCCATACAACTATCATACACAAACATGTGCGTGAGCACAAATGTGCACACACAGACATGGCTTGGCTAGGCATGGTGGCACACAACCATGGTCCATCCCAGCCACAGGATTGCTATGAGCTTGGAAGCCATAGCACTGGCTATGAAGTCAAGGGGCCTGGCCTCTACCAAATCCGAGGAGTCCACTCTCTCACCTTCGGAAACCTAGCATTGTCAAACACATTTCTTGATGATTCCTTAACTTTCATGTAGAGGGCCTTACAGGGACCCGAACTTCTCCTTGTGAATGAATATTTTATGGGTGACAGCAGAAGAACAGCCATTCCCCCAAGTAAAAGAACCATTTTTAACTTATAGTATAAAGTATTTTTTTTTCAACAGCTATTTGAAAAGGTGTTACCTTAAGACAGGGATAGGACCAACATAGGTTGTGAATTCAGTTCGAATCTCACCTCTAACACTAACCAAGAGGCTTTCAGCAAGTCACTTAACCTGGACAGACTGCTGCTGTGTTTTCTGCCTGTAATATGGGAATACAACCATCTGTGTAGTGTTGTTACAACAACTAACCAGTATAATTGTGTGTATGTGTATGTGTGTATACATGATGTAAGGAACAAGCCTTACAAAGCTGCCCTAGGACAGCAGCAACTGGGCTCTGTTTAAATGTGTATCCTGTGAGTAGATGAATGACAGTTTCTGGCCACACAAAGGAGTTAACGACATAATGGTCTCACCATCGCATTTTTCTTTGCTGCCTGTCTTTTTAACCGTCTTTCTTCCCGTCGATTGTCTTTCTTTAAGGCCACTGCAATCTCTTCCCGTACTTCCTGGCTGTCTGCTGCTATCAACTGTCCGTTGTGAAGCACCTGCGAGTTCTGTTTTAGGTATTCCATGAATCCATTCACATCTTCATTTAAATACTCTTTTTTCTTCTTGTTCTTTTTATGTTTTGCTTGAGGGGAATCATTTTGAAGGGACAGCCTATTGATTTGGCGTTGTTTATGCTTTGGAAGGTTTCGGTCTGCACTCCCTGCAGATCCCCCCCTCATGTCCTCCCATGATGTCGCAGACAAGGGTCTCCTATGATTTGAGGTGTTCACTCTAGCCCATCTGGTCATGGTTTCGGCAGAGGCACTTTACCAATCTGCAAGGTAAGAACAAGTAGTATTGGATTAATTAAAAGCTGAAGATGTAGAGACAGGTCATTATCATAAAAATACTCATATTTCAAACTTTAAATCATGAAAACTCCTCATCTGGGTATCTGCATTGACACATGGTACACCGCAAAGTTATTTTTCTAAAATAATTTTGGCACTGATCAGAGAAGTTCCATTCCAGTCGAAGAAAAAGGCATATATCTTTGCTTAAAACTAGAAAGTAACTTGCCAAAACATGATTTTTTTTTTTTTTTGAGACAAGGTTTCTCTGTAGCTTTGGTGCCTGTCCCAGAACTAACTCTTGTAGACCAGGCTGGCCTCGAACTCCAAGAGATCCGCCTGCCTCTTCCTCCCAAGTGCTGGGATTAAAGGCATGTACCACCACCGCCCGGCCCAAAACTTGATTTTTTAAATTAAAAATCACATGTAAATTCTGGGAGTGGTCTTCCTAAATCCTAGCGTTTTCCTGGCCATTTCTTTTCCTATCTTTAAACCTCAGGCTACTTTCTCCCAATCTGCTTGTTTAGTTTGCCATTTCAATTCAACAAACTGCAAAGCACATTAGTAAGCATACAAAAGGCTTGTCCTTTAAGTTTGACTTTATAGCTCTTCCCGGGAGATTTATAAAGCAAGGCAGTATAACAAGTGTTTGCAGTCACACCATAGTTCTCTCTTACTGATGAGGGTGATTGTCATTTGCAGTCCAATGGTTTTGAGTAATTTTCAATTATCCTATTTCAATGATTCAGATTGTAAGACAAACTTCATACCAAGAAGTCTTGTTTGTATACCCTTATAAATATTTATTGTCATAAATAGGTTTCATTTCAAGTATATATGCGCACATGTTTTTTAAAGTCGTTTGCTTTGAGCCTAATTATTTGGCTCCAACATAAAACTGCATAGTTTACTTTGCATGTTACCTAGCAATCCTGAGAACGTTTCTTTTTCCTCTTCGGTGAATGAGAACATCAGACACAATCAAAGAACGGGAGTTGCCACTTTCAGGGCAGCCTGTGTGCAATGCCCTGGCACCAGCAGTCTGCAGCATGCCTTCGGGGCCTGTGAGTGACGCTGCAAGCCACTTTACAGCGCGCTGGTCCCCGGTGACTGTCACCAAGAGGGCGGATCCTCCTCCTGACAGACCGGATGGGAACTCGGGGGTCAGGAGGGTGACACGGGACGGCTGGACAGATGCTTCCGTATGGGAGGCTGCGCTTCTCCCCATCCGCCCCCAGCAGCGCGTCCCGCGAGCACCCTGGGCCTGATCCCAAGAGCCGAGCTGGGCGATCGGACTGTCCCCCAACCTCTGTCCTCGCGTCTCCCGCACGAGTCCGGCTCTAGCCGGCCAGAGGCGGCCACGAGGCCCGCACACCACAACCGGTGGCGCCATCGTAGCTCCTTACCGCGCGTGAATCCTCCAGAGCAGCAGAGACAGCAAACCAGAGAAGCCGGGCCCGGGATGAGGAAGCAGCCTTGCAGACCGGAAGTGCACCTTTCCCTACGCGTCACTTCCGGCGGGCCGGGCTGGTTAGAGTGAGGCGTAGAGGTTGCTACACTCCGGAAGTTGGCTGTCTAAGTTTGTGGGTTGTATGCTGTTTGCAGAGCGTTTCGCTGGACTCCCGGGACACGACGACGAGCGCTCAGTCTGTGCCGTCCGGAAATGTGTAATTTAGAGGGAGAGACCCGAACGGACTGCTGGGAGGAAGGTCTTCTTTAAAATGCCCTTTGAACTGGACTTGGAAAACTCGATTAAGTAATGAAATTGGCTGTGGGAGGGAACCTAAGCTCGGCAAAGGTGTCAGTGCGGCTGGGGTGTCGCTGGGATACAAGTCTAAAGAAGACCTTTGGAGCACCTCTTGGCTTTGAGTGGTACTTGTGATTGCCCTGCCTGGAACATTCACACTTTGTGGCCAGAGTTCCCTCTTCAAGATAATTCTAGTCCTCCGTCCTATTAGTCAGCCCCTCCAGGAAAGCACCCAAGCCAGTTGTGCTCAGTGAGAAATGGCATTGGCATACGCATTTAGTGCTCCATTCATTTTGCCTCTTAAATGTTTGTCCACTTCCCTGCCCCTCCGCTCCTGTTGGCTTTTTTCTCCGACTTCCTCTTCCCTTGCCTCAACTTTCACAGTGTGGTCCAAATCACTTCGGCTCATCTGGGCAGACATTTTTATTTCCTGCCTTAATGGTTTCCACAAGTGAACTTTTGAAAATGTGAATTAGAGTGCCAAGTCTAATTGATGTCTTCCTGCTTAAGCCCGTCCATCTTTTCTCACTGTTAGAATGGTAGTCAAACTCTTGAGCGTGTGTAAACCCCTGCCAGCGTCACTAGTCTGACTTCATTCCATCTCTGTCCTTTCTGAACTCTATACAAAGAGGCCTTCCCCCTCTTGTTTATCACAGGATTTACAAATGCAGCTCTGTTTGCATAATACTCCGGTTTTGCGGGGCGTTGGCGGCACACACCTTTAATCCCAGCACCCAGCAGGCGGAGGCAGGCGGATCTCTGTGAGTTCGAGCCCAACCTGGTCTAGAAGAGCTAGTCCAGGACAGGCTCGAAAGCTACAGAGAAACCCTGTCTCGAAAAAAGCAAGCAAACAAAAACCCTCCTGTTTTATTGTATCCTAAATGCCTCCCACATAATTTATTCTTATTCCTTTATTATATTCATAAAATCAGTGTCATAAAAAATATTGGGGTTTGGTATGGTAAATGCCACTAACATACTAGTGCATATGTTAACATGCTTAAAGATACAGAAACAATCCCGTAGCTGATGGGAAGCGAGAGGCTCCTCGGTGCCTTTGTGGCTTCAGCCAGTTGGCTCCAGCCTACTGACATTTCAAGTTCCTGTGACAGTTTATTTTTCTGGGTAACTAGCCTTGAACACAATGTGTACCACTAGATGGCGCAGTCAAGGAAAAACGTGTCCTTTTAATGCTGACTTTCCTTGCAGATCTGATTCCTGGAAGTAAGGGGGCACCTCTATTTTGATGAAGATTAGTAGTTGAGTAAGCAGGTCATAGATTAAGTCCTTTGGAGTTCATGAGGAAGCGCTAGTGTTCCTGCTAGTAATAGAGTGTCTGAGTAGTGTATAGGTGCTAAAGGGATAGTTAGTTACACCATATCCCTGACTAACTAACCCACCCACTATCCTGAGCTGCTTTCTGCATTCAACAACAAGGAAATAAACCCAGAGAGCTGAAGCCACTTACTCAAGGCCACACAGCCACTAAGAAACAGAATGAGACTTAGAACCAAAATCTCAGGCTGTAGTTGTGCTCTTCTATTTTAAATACTGCAGAGCATTGTTTACTTGAACTCATTTTAAATATTCTTTGCTGAGTTATCCATACCAATGTAAGACTTAAATGTGTATTTATTTATAATTCAAGGGATTATCTTTTTATTCAATTTTCACTCTTATTGGTTTAAATATATTATTTCATGGCAAAATGTTAGAAAAAATGTTAAGTGAGGAGCCAAGGGTTTTATTATCAAGGGATATACTTCATTTTTCATATTGTAAATCATCTTATTAGGGTTCTGTATAGGAACAGAACTGATAGAGTGAATATATATGTATATATAATATGATAAAGAGGTGTTTGAGAATTACTTGGTAGGTTTACAAACCACACACACACGTGCACTCACACAAATTATTAGACTGACTTACATGTTATGGTCCAGCTAGTCCAACAATGACTGTCTACCAAGGGAAGGTCCAAAAATGCAGTAGGTGCGCAGTCCACAGTCCGTCTAGATACCTCAGTTGGTCTTAAAGTATACACTGGAATCCCAAAGAAGTGGGTTCTGATGCCAGTGTAAAAATGGACTTGCCATCGAGCAGCCCGGCAGAGAGAGCAGGCTTCCTTTTTTGTGTCTGTTATACACACCACCAACAGAAAGGTGTGGTCCTGGTTAAAGGTGAATCTTCCCACCTCAAAAGATCCAGATTAGAAGTGGGCTTTCCCATTTAACATGATTTAATTAAAAACCTTCACACGTGTACCAAGTCACTTAGTTAATTCCCTGCGTAGTCAGGTTGACAACTGAGAATAGCCACAAGGCATCTTAAAAAGGATACAGGATAAGAAGTAACATGCAAAGTATATTCCATATGAAGTATATAGACATAGTCTAAAACACCTATGTGTAAATATCGCCCAGTTCAAACCGACACTGCTATATACTCTTCATTATATTAATGTAGTTTTGGCGTGGATAATGTATGTTTATGTGTCAAACAAAAGGCGTTTACATGATGATATAAACTTCACAAACCATTTCTCAACCTGATGCTATCTATAAACACCAGGCATTGTAAAAGCTACTGTGAGATTCAGAAAAGTAAGCAAACAGTTGTAGAGGGAGTTAGAACATAAAAATGTGCATGACTGAATGTCCCCTTCAATACATGTTTGGGGAAGGGATATTGTTTGCTTTGGGAGTGGATCACAGTCATAGGTGGCAGAGCAGGACTGGCTAAACCCATAATAGAATCCGAGTCACCATTGTTCAGTCTGTGAAGACCATCAAAGCATCGTCTAACAGCCACACCTGGTGAATTGTAGAGGGTGGGGGAACTACAAGAGCGCATCCTCCACTTCTGTGAACCACATAGGACTCAAGGACTGGTCCCTGAAACACCATGCACATGACAAACTCCTGAACTGAGATGGGAATTGCTACCCACAAAACGTGAGACAAAGTTCACAGTGCAAGTCTAAACACCTCAGTTGTTTGCTTGGTATTTTTACCCTTGAGGAATAAAATAGAACTTGAAGTATGTACAAAATAACATTCACAGTTTCCAGGATAATATCTAAAACATTTTGATACATAAAGAACTAGAAACATGTGATACATTACAGAAACAACCACCCCCCTAAATGCCACCTGCATCATCCAGATCCGAGAGGAACAGGTTCAAAAGAAAGAGAAAAAGAAATATATGGGAAATTTTTTTTTGGATTGGCTTGTATGATTGGGTGTTAGTTCAAACTTGATGTGTTGGGGAACCTTAGAGCCTAGTAGGTGTTCAGTTAAATAATTACCCACTCCAAAAAAGCCAGAAGCCTCACAACGGGGATGATATGGGCAATGATGGGCATAGTTCAAAGTTGAAGTCTAGAAGCTTCCTTAAGACTCACTGGTATGAGCCTGCATAAGAAGAGTGAAGGAGGCGGGGCCAGCTGTGCACAGTGACAGCAGCAGTGACAGTCAGTCAGGAGGTCAGCTGTGCACAGTGACAGTGGCAGTAACACTTGCACTCGGGAAGGGAGTGAGCATGAGCTGACCAGCTTTCTCCCACTTTTTTTTCATCTGCCTCCCTAGCCTGTTGAGTGGTGCCCCCCACATTCAGAGTGGATCTTTTCCTCTCAGTTGCTTTCCCACCTGTTGGTCCTCTCTGGAAATGCCCTCACAGATACAACTGGAAGTGTGTTTTATTAACCCCCTCAGCATCTCTATCTAGTCCCCCCCCCAAAAAAAAACAAGATTAACCATCATAGCTTTAAAATGACCTAGATGCTGGAATTACCAGACAAGGTCTTTAAATAACATTTACATCTATGCCCAAGGAACCAAATAATGCTATGAATGACTTAAGCAATTGAAAAAATACTGTAAATGGATCATAAGATGGTCAGTCTCAATACAGACATTTTTATGTAAGTTCTCGGGATGGAAACCTACATTCTAGGTCTAAATGCTTGCATGGCAAGTGCTCTACCCTTTGAGCCATCTTCTCAATCCACTCTAGTGTCTAAAAACCCAAGGGCTCACTGTGAAGCTTCATTGTGGAGCACTTGCCCAGCACACACGAGCCCCTCCTGTATTTGATCCAGAAACACAGAGAATATGCATTCCTGTGTTGACATTGATTAGTCATTAAGGCTTGTGCCTGTTTATCCACCCGGAAGCAATGGATGAGAGCAACAGATTCTCACCCTTCCCCGAAGAGTATATTGACAAACTTGAGTTGTTGCCAAGCAGCCATAGATGTGGTGATATTTTGTTTGTGGCCTAACAAATAAAGCTTGTCTGAAGATCAGAGTGTGGAGCTAGCCACTAGTTAGCCATACAGGCCCGACAGTGGTGGCACACACCTTTAATCCCAACACGCAGAAGCAGATGGATCTCTGTGAGTCCAAGGACACCCTGGGTCACACGAAATGACCAGTCTAAATGGAGAAACAGAGCTGGGTGATGATGGCTCACAACTTCAATCCCATTGCTTGGGAGTCACACACCTTTAATCCCAACACTAGGGAGGCAGAGACAGGAAGGGATATGGCTGGTTGGAGAGAGGAATATAAGGCAGGAGGAGACAGGAGCTCAAGGCATTCAGTCTGAGAATTTGTGGAGACAGGATCTTGCCCACTTGGGGCTGAGGATTCGGTATAGGTAAAAGGTCTCTCTACTAGGTGGTTCCTTTACTTCTCTGATCTTTCAGTATTTACCCAATATCTGACTCTAGTTTTTATTATTAAGACCAATTAGAATTCTCACAACATATAGAAGAACATGACCTATGGGTACATGGAGCTTCAGTTTGTTTAACAATCTCTTGTATTTCCTTCTCTGTATACCAACGGCTTATATCACTTGCCAATTTCTTTTTTCAGCCCCCTTTTAAGTTAATCTTCAGTTAGCATATATGGTAATGGGTTTCATTGTGGCATTTTCATACGCATACTTAGCATGCATACTGTGAGTCAAATGCTACTTTTAGATGTCCTATTCAGAAAAGAAGGTAATACAAGACACTTCAGCACTTACCATATCCTCTCCTGCCTAG